GTAGTGCCGTGAGTCCGGTAAGGAGGTGGAGGCAGCGGTGGAGCATCCCGGCCATTTCGTGACGGCTGCCCAGGAACTGGAGGAGCTAATAAAGGAAGTCATGTTGAGAACGTCAAGCAAGTAACAGAAAGAAAAATATAGTTTAAAATGATAATTCTCATGCACCATAGTTCAACTCTTCTGAAGCCATACAACAGCTTTGTGTTAAATTATGAAGTTCCTCACACAATAATGATCATGACTCAGAATAAAGTGCCTGAATCATATAGACTGCATGTATAGTGCGTTTATGTTGTCCTTTGTGGAAATTGAGAGACGTGGTCACAATGATAGACATATGGGAAAAGAACAGCTTCAAAATACTCCTTGTGAATTACACAAATTAAACAGGAAATAATGACAGAACGTTCATTTTGTGTGAATTACACTTTAAAAATGAATCTAGAAGAACAGTATGGTTTAAATATTTGGGGTCAGTAAGATGTCTTATTTTTTTCATTTAAGAATAATAGTAATATTAATACTTTTACTCAGCAAGGAGGCATTCAATTGAACAAAAGTGACAGTAATTTATTATGTTACAAAATAAAATGTAATCAAAAAAATATGATATAGCACAACTGTTTTCAACATTGATAATAAGAAGAAATGTTTCTTAAGCAGCAAATCAGCATATCAGAATGATTTCTGAAGGATCATGTGACACTGAAGACTGGAGTAATGATGCTGAAAATTCAGCTTTGTATCACAGGAACAAATTTCATTTTATAATATATTAAAGTAGAAAAGAGTTCATTTAAATTTGTAATAATAATTCACAATATTACTGTCTTTACTGTATTTTTGATGAAATAAATGAAGCCTTGGTGAGCATACAAGACGTTTTTCAAAACCAAAAAATCTTATACACCCAAATTTTAAATGGTAGTGTAGTATTAAACAAAAATGATTAATTTTAGTAAATTAGAGAAAAGTCACATAGTAATAATTTTCTCTGGAACCACCAGATTTCAGACAGTAGAGCTCACCTGCTCCTCGTCCCGGGGCCTCTCGTGCTGGAGGCGGGGGTCTGGCAGGCTGTGGGGTGGGTGACGGTGGTGGAGGTGGCGCATGTCCGCGTGTCGGTGTGTGTCCACCTGCTGAAGGCTTCTTGCTGAGTGAGTTGTGTCTCTGGGGCAGTTCGGGGGCCGCCACATTCACAGGACTGGAGGGGCCATTGGAAACCCCAGACTGCTGACGGTAAGGGGGCGGCGGCGGGGTCAGGGAAGAAGAAGATGAAGACAAGCGGCTGCTCGCAGGAGACGGAGGAGGTTTCACTGGTGGAGGTGGCGCGTTTTCACGCACCGGTGCTGGAGAGGGCCCTCGCTGCCCTGGAGTCGGCGGAAGTGGCTTTTCACGATTGTACGAGGGCGCTGTGGCTTTCTGCAGCGGGGCAGGAGGAGCGTTTCCACGCCGGGACATTGGGGGTGGCGGAGGTGGGGCTGAAGAGCTGTGCTTCATGCCTGTAGAGGGGCTGCTGCCTACACTGGGGGAACGGGAGAGATCAGGGAGGGATGGCCTCTGGGAACGGCCAGACTCCCCGGGGGGGAGTCCTGCTGAGAGGGACTGTCGGGGTCATCATGACTGCTGGGTGGACGAGGGGCAGCAGAACGAGTACCTGGATGGTGCAACGCAGACCTGCCTGCAGAACCATCTGTAACACAACCGGTTCAACATAAGAACCAGCCATAACTACAAGGCTTATGTTAATTTGAAGAAACACCCTTTGCATATCTGAGAAACACTGGCACAAAACTCTTAATATGTATCATATTTTGTAGGCAATGACCACTGCGGAATGAACAAACACATTTTTGTGAAAAACCTACAGTAGGAAATCTGTACACTGGAAATCTGTAAAGTTTCTTTATTGTGATCTATGTTTCCACGAAGAATTTTTAAAGGGATAGTTCACCTAAAAATAAAAATTATTCACTTCAGAAGGCCTTTATTAACCCCCCCGAGCCGTGTGGAGCACTTTTTATGATGGATGGATGCACTTTATTTTGCTTAAAAATCTCGACCACCATTCACTGCCATTAGAAAGCTTGGAATAGCCAAAATATTTTTTAATAACTCTGGTTGTATTCGTCTGAAAGAAGAAAGTCTTATACACCTAGAATGGCTTGAGGGTGAGTAAATCATCGGGTAATTTTCATTTTTGGATGAACTATCCCTTTAACATCCATGGAACCTTCAGTGGCTAACGGTGGCTTTTTTAACCGGGTATGCTGAGTGATAAGACGACCCCCCATATAGCTGGTTTTCCAAGTAAAAACCGCCAAATAACGTTTACACGTAGTTACGTTATGATACATAATAAAAGGGTGGGGAGGTGGGGGGGATTCCCCCGCTCTATACGTCTCTGTATCAGCTAAATTATTTTTTTTATTCCCAGTGAATAGGAGTGAAAACTCCCACCCGGGTGACACGACTCCAATAACAGACCATGCAAAATACCCCAAAATATTTAAAATATTGCAAAGTAACGTTGCAACCTTGCAAACAATAATAAAATCAGAGAAGGACTTTAACTGTAAGCGACACGAGCATACGCAAAACAAAGGGAACAATATGATGTTTGTTATTATTACATTTTTATATAGCCCACGTTTTTATACACATTTTTTTTATTTATTTACCGCTTAGGCAATAATGTTGACAATAACGTATATCTTTAACATACGTTGTCTATGATCAAAAATGTAAGAAGAAATGTTTTCAGTGGACTTTTAAAATTTGCTTTGCTTGAGAAAACAAAAATATACAGTTACAGTGTTTTTTTTCTTTTGATTTAGTCGAGTTGGTTTTGCATCAAACACAACGTAATTTTCGGCAATTGAGATCTGACAGCAACAGCACATTTTTCCGCTTGGGTGTGCGGTTCACGGACAGCTTACCTCACGCATTAAATCAGCCGCAGACCAGCAAATCACTGAGAACGCGCTACAATCCTGACGAGTCATAGCAACAGAGCAGAGACGAGAAAACTGCGGAGAATCCGCTCGCCCAGAAGCAACCGCAACTGGTAGATTTAAAGAAAATTACTGCCGTTTGGCAAATAAATCATTGTACGTACTTATTCCTAACTCTTTAAGCTTTAAGTTACATTTCAAATGACAAGGGATCAACTTATAATCATGTTTATATGAATTATCCCGTGAACTTATTCTCTCAAATGGCCTGGGTATGCGGAGCATTCGCAGCTTATATGGACGGACCGCCACTGGGAACCTTCCCATTACACAAAAGGCTCTTTACAGCGGAAAAAGGTTCTTTAGATTTTTAAAATGTTCCTCACTAAGAAAAAATAGTTATTTTAAGAACTGTTCACTGAAAGATCCTTTGGGGAACCAAAAATGGTTCTTCTGTGGCACTGCTGTGAAAACACCCTTTTGGAACTTTTATTTTTAAGAGTGTATCTTGACCAGTATCACCACTATGCACTATAAGCGATGTGAAGATTTGACAAATTCTCATTTTATACACCAAAAGCATATGGCGCACAACAGAGGGTGTGAAAATTGCAATTTTTTAAAGAACTGTTCCTTTAAATAGACGAAAACCAAACATTTTTAACAATCAACACACCTCCTACAGGTCGCAATTTTGGGACGCCACCCTGAAACAACCCTCCCACTGGCTGGCCCGGTGCAGAAGACCCTCCGCCACTTCCTTTCGGCTCTAAAAATAAACAAAGTTTTTAATGTATTTTGATCAAATATATGCAGTCTTGAGGAGCAGAAAATAATTCTTTCAAAAACATTTAAAAAAAAATAAATCTTACCGACCCCCAAACTTTTTTACAGTAGTGCAAGTAGATCAACAGAAAACGAGAACTCTCAACATGATTATATAAACGACTTTTTATTTTGGGGCGAACTATCCAGTTAACACCGGTAATACCGGTATCACCGTGGGGGCGGGGCGTTCCCTTTTTTTACAGTAGTGCAAGTAGATCAACAGAAAACGAGAACTCTCAACATGATTATATAAACGACTTTTTATTTTGGGGCGAACTATCCAGTTAACACCGGTAATACCGGTATCACCGCGGGGGCGGGGCGTTCCCTCTTTTCCTCGCTTTCCTTCGCTTTTAAATAGCTTGTAAAAGCTGCGTTCGCATTTTACTTTCATTTTCAAATAGCGGCAATTCGGCGTAAAGCAATTGTTCGTTTTTAGTTCGTTTGAATTTCCCCTTTTTTCCTCGCTTTCCTTCGCTTTTAAATAGCTTAAATCGAATTAGCGGCAGTTCGGCGTCAATTGCTTGAATGCAACAACAAAATACAACGTCAAACTCACTTTAGCCTATATTTAAAACATAGAACTTTTATTAACAAAACAAATAAAAATACACCATGCTATAGGGCAAGCTATGCCTAATATAAAATAACAAATGGAAATAACAGGCTAAGTAAACGTATAATATATAACCAAATAAATAAGAAAAACGTAGAACGTTTATTAGCAAAAGAGTAAGAAAGCTTGGAGGCACGGCATACCCCTTGATGTAAAAAAAATGTCAGTCAGCTCGACTCACTCTCCTCACTCTCCTCACTGGAGAAATTAAATCTGATCTGTGATGCGACGACTGTCGTTCGGCACGCTGCATTGAGCAGCCGCGTTCAGTTTTTAATTGTAGTGTCTGTTCTTTAACTGAACTAAATTATTTTTATTACTATAAAAAATCAAAACAACGGTGGGGGTCGGTGCCGCAGTGGGCAAGTGACATAACCGGTGTTGCGGCTTAAGACCGGTATCACCGTCAGCACCGTCTTTCGCGGCAAGCCTAACTGACTTTTGTATCCAGTTTAAGGTGTGCATCAACAATAAATTCAATACGCCTATCAATATGCTGAACTATCAAATTCATGCTGTTTTTCCACTTATAAAAATTCTGCAAAGCCAAGGCACTCAAGGATGAGTAAAATATAAAAAGCCTTTATTTTCTCATGGCTATAATGTTAAAAACAAACACCTATGACTGCACACCAACGGGTTGCGGCTAACAAGCCTTCATCAGGGTGAAACGAGGCTTTTTATATTTTACTCATCCTTGAGTGCCTTGGCTTTGCATGATTTTTATGAGTTGATCTATCTCTTATCCAAAGATCACTAGGATTTGAAAATGTTTTTTCACCTCAGCAGCACATTTAGTTTTTTGTGTGTCTTATGCTTTTCCACTTACTCTCAATCATAGGTGCACTCCTGTCATTGACAATGCCAACTTTCTTCAAATTGGGCCCTTTGCAGATATCAGTGAGCAATGCCCCTCTGCCCTTTGCTTCATCTCGGCTCAGCTTGGGAGGGGTTGTGTTTGTCTGCGGAAAAGCGATTATTTATTTTTTGTTCAGGTCAAGTTTTCACAGAGGCATATGAATTTTGAATTGAGCATGCTGTGAATATTTTTAAGGTAAGGTTTTGCAGTTCCCAATAAAGTTACCAGCCAACTAGAGAGTACTTACCTGGCTAAGAGTTGGGGGAGGAGGGGGAGGAATGGGCATCTTGGATCTCTGTCCGGTGATTACAGCTGAGAGTGTAACACATAAAACTTCATGAAGACAGTTATCTAAAGAAACAGAAAATTAAAGCATAAATCAAACGTATTAAAACTTTATATATATATATATATATGTATATATGTGTGTGTGTGTGTGCGTGTGAGAGAGAGAAAGAGTATATATAGGATTATTCAGAATAATTAGGTCATTTTTTCCAGCCATCTTTATATATGTATATATAGTTTTTAAAGAGGTTTCCAAGGCTGCACTTATTTGATCCAAAATACAGTAAGAACAGAAATACTATGAAATATTATTACAATTTAAAATAACTGTTTTCTAGTTGAATATACTATAAAATGTAATTTATTCCTGTGATGCAAAGCTGAATTTCCAGCAGCCATTACTCGTCATCAGTGTCACATGATCCTTCAGAAATCATTCTAATAAACTGAAGAAACATTTATTATTATTATCAACGTTGAAACAGTTGTGCTGCTTCATATTTTTGCATAAACAGTGCTCAAATTAGTTCTTTGATGAAAATAAATTTCAAAAGAACAGCATTTATTTGAAACAGAAAGCCTTTGTAAGATTATAAATGTCTTTACTGTCACTTTTGATCAATTTAATACATCCTTGTTGAATAAAAGTATTTGGGGGAAAAAAATTAACAGTGGTGTGTGTGTATATATACAGAATATGTATCACATTTTCTAATAAAATAGACAACCCAGATGTTTATCATTACAACCAAGCAGATACTGATCCATATTCTTCTGCTTTTAATCATAAACCTCTTATTTAATAAGTAAACAAGTTAACAACACACAAGAGCTCAGATAACATCTGACAGCTCATGACTTCATCTTAACGAATTCTTATCCGTATTGCTTTCAATACCATTCTGTTACTTTAGAAAAAAAATGAATGGAAACCATATTAACTATAATTATTATTGTAAAATATATACGGGATGTCCGCATTTATGATGCACATGATGGCTATAATAAAGTTAGCAGTTTACTGTACAATAAATTAGTGTAGCAGGCAGCTATGGTAACTGAGTGGAAACTAAATTATATTACAGTTAGTATGTAAACAACACGGCCTGCTGCAGGCTACGGCCATTTAACCCGTATACTCGTTTCAGCTCATTTCATTGACTAGAAAAATCATTAAATAGCAGTCATCACATGACATTTAAATGCATGTCCCGTGTTTTATTTGCATATTTATTTGATTGTGAATTAGCTCGACTTTAGCCTTAGCTTAGCTTAGCCTCCAGGTACGTCCATCGCGTCAAGACGTTTCCTGCCGACGGTGCGTGAAGAAAACGTTCCGTCGGTCGAACCCGACATAACGTGTTTATGTGATGAAATAATACAATGTTTGTGCCTACTTTTTTCCCGCAACGTCCGATGTTTTCGCAAACCGGACTCCAGTCATACATGATCTCGCGCGTCAATCTCCTTGATTTGCTCCCCCGTTCATACCGGAAATTACGTCACTGTACATCTTCTTCTTCTTATTCTTCTTCTTTTGGTTTTATGGCGGGTTGCGAACCAACTTCATAGGTGCATACCGCCACCTACTGTGATGGAGTGTGAAGAGAATGTACTCACCTAAATCTTAAATTCTGTTCATTATTCCACAATTCTTAAGAAATCTCATGACTGCACTTATTTGTTTTCCTGCATTTGGACCATCATTCAGGATACTACTTAATGAAAATTCTTTAACTCCTAAGGATTGTAATTCATCTTTAAGTCGATCTCTTTCTCTTTCATATGCTGTACATACCATCATAACGTGTTCCACTGATTCCTCTGTTAAACAAACATTACATAGACCAGTATTATGTTTCCCTATAATGTATAGTGTTTGGTTAAGATTTGAGTGTCCTGTTCGTATATGTGTTAAAATGACTTGTTCCCTTCTACTTATGTTATGAATGATTTTTCTTCTCTTTATACTCCTTTGTACTTTGTGATAATGCCTACCTGTTTGACATGAGTCCCAGTATATCTGCCATACAATATTGCATGCATTTGTCACTGTACATCTCGGTGTGAAAATGTTTATTACTGATTTTTAAAAACAGTTAGCTTTATTAAATAATCACACGCAAAGAAGCGAAAATCTGAGTGCTCGGGATTATTCTACTAGAGTTTCTACTAGAGTTTTATTATATTATACTCCGCTAAAATGTATCGTATAGATCTTTAAGATATCCTTTTTTTATTATATATTTTGTTTTAAATATTATATAAGATTATATTGAATCCCCAGTTTTCTGACCTTGTGAACATGGTAATTTTGTTGGGTAAATGTCACATTCACACGCACACATACATAAATAAATAAATAAATAAAACCCTAATTTATTTCTTCATGATTTTGTGAGAATGGTTTGAAAGTTTCAAATACTTCAGAAACAAAGTGGACAGATCATTCGCAGATCACTTGCTTTAAAAATGAAAAGTAGCCTATTTTATCATCTTCTCACCATGTCACTGAAACGGACTTTTATAGTCAAGAAAAGTTCAGTTGCAGTTTTGCTTCGTGCATATTTCATGCATATTTCATTCAGGAAATACAAATGTAGTTATTTTATGATACTGATTAATAACTCAACCCCGGGAGTGTTAATACCAGTAATGCCAAATGCTGCCACGTGATGGTGCTATAAAGATGTATTATATTACATGGATTATGTGGTTTATATTATTATCTTGATTTATAAGATTTTCTATTCATTATTAGTGTTATATGCGCATTAACTGCACAGGAAACACAGCGTATTGTATAAAATGCACCAGGTAGGCTTAGGGTTGGAGTGTCAATACAAATAACTACTTCAATTAAATAGTAAACGCAAACCTGGATAAGTATGTCATTTATATTTTATGAAGATGGTATCCAACATTTATGTGCAGCCTCTGGCCAAATGTGCTTAACAAATGATCAGTCAAGGAGTCATTCAAATTATGACACAATACGTTTTTATGTACATAGTACTAGCAAATGTATGACTGTAGTTGTTTCACCTTGAATGAAAGTCAAGGAGCTGAGACAGTTAATATAATTCAGTTTATTTATTTGAAAACAAACAAAAACACCGTCAAACTAAAAATGTTCAGTAAAAATGCATATTCACTGTGACTTCCTGTTGACATTCCGTGCATTTTTTCTCTTCTTTCTTGCAGGTGGGCATGTTGAAATTATTTACTATATGATAACAGCATCTTCAGGAGTGTAATTATCACTAAATATGCAGAAGAAGAGAAGGCCAATCAATGCGACAATTGCAAAATATTTGATTAAATGTTAAAGGAATAGTTCACCCAAAAATGAACATTTGCTGAAAATTTATTCACCCTCAGGCCATCCAAGATGTAGATGGGTTTATTTCTCCATCAGAACAGATTTGGAGAAATGTAGCATTGCTCATCAATGGATGCTCTGCAGTGAATGGGTGCCGTCAGAATGAGAGTCCAAACAGCTGATAAAAACATCAAAATAATCCATAAGTAATCCGCATGACTCCAGTCAATCAATGAATGTCTTGTGAAGTGAAAAGCTGCATGTTTAAAAGAAAAAACTCCATAATTAAGACGCTTTTAACTTTAAACTGTTGCTTCTGGCCAAAATATGAGTTTATAATCCATAATAATGCTTCCTCCAGTGAAAAAGTCCATCCCCTGTTCTCCTCTCACATCAAAATCCACCGACATGTTTGTTTAGAACGGTTTTAAACAGTTTTTGGCTTGTAAATGTTGCTTGATCTGTGCATATTTCTCTCCTGATTCAGACAAGATGACTTTTTTTTTTTACTGGAGAAAGCAATATTATGGAGTCGTATTTTAGCCGGAAGCAACAGATTCTTACAAACATGCAGCTTTTCACTTCATTAATTTATGGACTGGAGTGGTGTGGATTTCTTGTGGATTATTGTGATGTTTTTATCAGCTGTTTGGACTCTCATTCTGACGGCACCCATTCAGTGCCGAGGACCCATTGATGAGCAAGTGATGTAATGCTACATTTCTCCAAATCTGTTCTGATGAAGAAACAAACTCATCTGCATCTTGGATGACCTGAGGGTGAGTAAATGTTCAGCAAATTTTTGGGTGAACTATTCCTTTAACATGATTGATACTAACACTGCTGCTGTAAAAAAATTCGAGCATAACAGGGGAAACCGTACCAGAATAGTCTTTATCAATGTAACTACTATTACTTTTGGCACATACATGTTCCTTATATACCAACAGATGGCAGGCAGATTTGTACTTGCTGTATGAAGCTAAATTCTCCATTATAGTTACAGTTAATGAATAATGCTTGACAATTACTGCAATTTCATCAATCAGCAATCACACTTCACACAGATTGTAAAGCATTTCAAATTCATTTAAGCCTTTCAAATTCATGTTTAAGATCCCTTGCATCATACTCAGTCATATGACCACAAAATTCAGCATGTCATTCAAAACAAGATTAGCACATTTATATCTACTGTATGTACAATGATGTAAAACAATATAGTTTTTGTATAAAAAATATTTAAAGTCTATGGGATGTTATATAAAGAGGGCATAAGAGAGCGAATAGTCTGGAGTAAACAAGTAAAGGATAATGTAGTTGATTAGTCATAATCATACAATATTTTGTTCCAGAGAGCTGTGTAATAATAAGGGTTGTTTTGTATTGAAAGTCTAGCTGGAAACTTTAAGGGTGACTTCAAATTGCAAGGTGGGAAAAGCAATCACTATAATGCTAATCATTCCTTTGTAAAACAGTACATTGTGTTCAGTCTTAATGAAGAGCAAGATGCTAAATGCTAAATCCAAGCTAAATGATTATTGTGCAAAAAAAATAAAAATCTAATTCAGGATAATGTCATCATGTTCCCTATTACAGTAATAGCACTGAAAGAAAAACAAATGGTCATTTTATAGAGTCACTGTGTATTAGATTTCTCTAAAATATACTACAAATGTGGCCGTACATTCTACATATTTAATTTAGCAACTTTGACATACAGTGGGTACGGAAAGTATTCAGACCCCCTTAAATTTTTCACTCTTTGTTATATTGCAGCCATTTGCTAAAATCATTTAAGTTAATTTTTTTTACTCATTAATGTACACACAGCACCCCATATTGACAGAAAAACACAGAATTGTTGACATTTTTGCAGATTTATTAAAAAAGAAAAACTGAAATATCACATGGTCCTAAGTATTCAGACCCTTTGCTGTGACACTCATATATTTAACTCAGGTGCTGTCCATTTCTTCTGATCATCCTTGAGATGGTTCTACACCTTCATTTGAGTCCAGCTGTGTTTGATTATACTGATTGGACTTGATTAGGAAGTTTTTTGTCGTTGTTTTTTTTTTTTATAAAAAATAAAAAAAGAAGATAAATATAGATAAAGCAGAATTAAAATAGAATAGAAAGTGCTAGAGTTAGAGGGTCAAATAAATTATTTTCAGTAGATTTTTTATAGACAGTCCAAGACCTGCAGGGAACAAAACATTCTTATTTTGAAGTGAAAATGTCAAGTTAGACTAATAAAGTCAGGCGTATGGTGACGTGCTGTTGCATTTTTTTTTATATGTACTATAATTTATTATTTAATCATTCCATGAAACAGCCTCTTCATTATTCATCATAAAACAATAATTTACTGAACATCATTCTTACATTCTCATTCTGAATTAGTTTATAGTCTATTGCTATCATGACATATAATTTAAAGACTAAGTTTTCCATAGAGATGTATTTATTTTAGACTTTCATTGTGAGTGCATTTTTTTTTTCAAAGTGTTTTTTGCTCATTTTTACAAACTGTGGGGTGTTCTTCAGATATTTTATGGCTGAACAGTATCAGTGTGTAACAGGATCAAACAGGTCGATCTGGTTTCAGTGGGTTGTTTTTTATTTCCAATTTCGACGAACGAGTGAACAGCACATTGTATACTTAACGTTCCCTCACTGAGGAACACAGTATTCTGTCAGTTCGCGGGACGGACTGACAATCAAACCGCTCTTGCGCTTGATAAATGTGAATTCAATGACTGTCTCTCTTTATCTTTTCGTCTTTGACCCTTCTCTCACACGCATACGCATGCCATAACTCATTTGTCATGTGGCATTTTATTGTAATGCTCTTCACTCTAATGCAGCGAGATGTGCCGGATAAATAGGCAATTTGCGGTGGTGTTGTGTACTAAAGCAGAAAGATGTGCTGGGCTGTCGACTGTGCTCTCAACTCACCATCTGGTATATATCCAGGGTCGAGTGGCATGGCGGCATGTGCCTGAAAGAATATGAATGCAAACACATTCATTAAAAGCTTCTTTCATAACAAACAAAAATATGATACCATTGAAATATCAGGATATATCAACTTGAGCAGCAAATCAGCATATTAGAATGATTTCTGAAGGATCATGTGACACTGAAGACTGGAGTAATGATGCTGAAAATTCAGCTTTGCATCACAGGAATAAATTACATTTTAAAATATTCAAATAGAAAACAGCTATTTTAAATGGTAATAATATTTCACAATATTACTGATTTTACTGATCAGATAAATACTGTGGTCAGCAATTCACTTTCATTAGGACATATCCATCTCCTTTACATATACGTCGTCTCCTATCCATCTCATTTACATTTGCAACTGTTTATAGTATTACACAGTGGCCCCAAAAAGTATTTCTAACGTTTTGGACACAAGTCACACACAAGAAGATTTGAATGTTATTGCATTAGAAAAATATCAAACTAAGTCGTATCTGCAAACATGACACTTCTTATGATAACTAACATCGCTTGTATGAGCCACACCAAAAATGCCTAAAAAGATCCATGTGCATGTGACAATCATATAACCGATTGCAGTATAAGAAACCTAATTGACACCGACACACTGAATTATTGAAGAAGAAGAAGAAAAAAAAAGCACACTGTTTCACATCAGCGTTGAATTACCAATTGGGTTTGCATTCATTTTCAATAATTGAAAGGTATGTCGTCAATTATGCCATATCAATATCATTATTTCATTATGATTGCTAAAAATTGATACCGCATACACAATTCGAAATGATCTCATTAATAATAATGTGCACTGTGCTGGAGTGCTGTGTGACTCCTGAATAAATATATTCACCATTTCCCAAGCTGCAGGGTCATGTTTGAAGAGGGAATGGGTGAGCTCCACCGACACACGCTTCCTGTAGTCTGAACTCTTGTCCTCAGAGATGCGGAAGAGAACAGCTGCAGCATAGGTGGCTGAAGAAGAGAGAATGATTACAACCAGATTTTTAGATGTATGATATGATACATGATAATTATTTACATTTTATTATATAATTTTTTTATAATGCATGAAATATATTTACTGAATAAAAGTGGAAAGAAAATAATAATAAATAAATAAATAATTACATTGATAACATATGACAAATAAAAAGGTCAAAAATGACAGTAAATACTTTTACGATGTTACAGAAGATTTCTATTTTAAGTAAATGCTGTTCTTTAGAACTTTCTTTTCATAAAAGAATTCTGAAAAATAATTAATAATTTCATAATGTAACACACACACACACACACACACATAATGTATAAATATTAAATTATTATGTAATATTAAATAATAATTTATTAAGAAATAGAAATGTATATACAAATATACAAATAATATATACAAACACATATACAAAATACACTTGCTGAACTATGACTTGAATGGTCTATTGCTTGTCCTTATGTCACACCAAATCAAGTGAAGTGTAATCAAGTGATGTCATGCCAGTCAGATGGCCTTCTTATATGTAAACAGACTTTTTAACCAAATGTATTCCTGAAAGTGAAATCTTCAGCTTGTGAGACTAACAGCCATTTAACATGTTAAGTGTCGAGCTGAAGATTCGCTTGTGAACTTGTGGGCTTTTGTGTGTTCTGCTTCTTTTCTATACTGACATGTGGCACCAAAGTCAGCGTAACGACATGCTGTATGTCTGACAGTGTTTGTCTACCGCAGACTGTCATTGTCGAGCAGATACAGGAGAAAGTGTCGGCAGTTTATGAAAGATGCTGGTATGAAACTGTAAACACAAGAATGCAGAATTGCCAGTTTTCTGTATCAGCTTACTTCCACTAGGAGTGTGATGAAAAATCGGGGGAAGGTTTGCACAGTTTCAAATGGCTGTACAGACTATGATCTGTCCGATGGCATATGGCTATTTTCTGTGTTTTAACAACATGAAGTGACACATGTAATTAGTCACAAGGTATGGCAAGCTGTTTTAACATTTAATCCTTAAAATGTACTTGTATCTATTTTAATGCTACTAGTACTTGTTTTTTTAGCTTCTAGTATCTATTCCATTAAGTACTAGTACTTATCCATTAGCTACTAGTACTTATTCCTTAGCCACTAGTGCTTAATCTTTGATACTAGTGACTTTTTAAAGATACTAGTACTTATTCATTTGACACTAGTTCTTATTTATTAGATACCATCAATTATTTCAATAGTGACTAGTAACTACATTACTGTTACTATTAACACATTTCAAATTTTTACCATTGACCATCTGTCATTCAGATATTTAAAATATTACTAGTAAGTATTCATTAGATACTAGTACTTATTTATTGAATACTATTACTTTTCATTAGATACTAGCTCCTATTTAATAGATACTAGTAGTTGTTCATTAGGTACTAGTACTTATTTAATAAAAACTAGTATGTTTTGTGATTGTTTCTAGAAACAAATCTTATTATACTAGTCACAATTACTTTTTAACTTGTCTTACGACTAGTCAGAATGGCCACTGTAGAGTTCAATTAAAAACCTCTCTAGTGAAAAAAAAATAATACATTTGAATAAGTACTAGTATTTTATAAATGTGTATTAGTATCTATTGAAAAAGTATTAGAAGCTAAGGTTACACTTTATTTTAAAGTGTCCTTGTTACGGTGTAATTATACATATAAGTACTGAATAATATTAATTAACTACATGTACTTACTATATGGTTAGGGTTAGGATTTGGGTTTGGCTTAGGGTTACTTGCATGTAATTATGCATAATTAATTGTTATTATAATAGTAAGTACATGTAAAATGTGTAACAAAGACACCTTAAAATAAAGTGTTACCGAAGCTAATCAATAAATATGAGTACCTATTTAATAGGTATCTAATATTAACTACTAGTATTTAATAATAAGAACTAGTATCTAATGAATAAATACTAGTATGCAATGAGTAAATACTAGTGTCTATTTAATAGGTACGAGTATCTAAAAACAAGTACTAGTATTTAATGATTAAGTACTAGTATCTAAAAATAAGTACTAGCACCCAATTATATATACTAGACTCAAAATGGAATATTTGATATATGAATGACAAATCCCCATAGACGCCAATGGGAAAAATTTGAAATGTGTTACTAGTAAAAATAGAATAGTTACTAGTAACTGCTGAAATATGTACTAGTATCTAATGACTAAGTACTAGTATCTACTTAATAACTACTAGTATCTATTAATAAGTACTAGTATCTCATGAATAAGTACTAATATCTAATAATAACTACTGGTATCTAATGAATAAGTACTAGTATCCAATAATAACTACTAGTATCTATTAATAACTACTGGTATCTAATGAATAAGTGCTAGTATGAAACATCTAATGAATAGGTACTAGTATCTAATAATAGCTACTAGTATCTATTAATAAGTACTAGTATCTAATAATAACTACTGCTATCTAATGAATTAGTACTAGTATTTAATTAATAAGTACTAGTATCTATTTAATAGGTACTAGTACCTAAAGAATAAGCACTAGCTAACGAATAAGTACTAGGAAGTAATGGAATATATACTAGTGGGTAAAACATAAGCGCTAATAACATGAAAATAGATACTAGTATGTTTTATACATTAAATGTATACATGTTATACATATATGTTTCATAAGTGTTAAAACAGCTTGCCATATTGGGGTGTGGCATTAAACTTTCTCTGGATGGGCATCACTCACCAATCCCCTCATTGGGAGAGTGCAGGAGTTCCATTAGAGGTGCAGATGCTCCTTCTGCGTCAATCATCTCAGCAGACTGCTTATCCAGAGCCAGTTCACACAAAACACCGGCGGACACACGCTTTATGTTCTCCAAGTAGGAGTACAGAAGCTAACAGGAAACAGGAAGTCAAAGAATGAGAGGGGTTATACACACAAAAAAACTCATCTGTGCTGTTTCACTACTGCTTCATCAACACCTCCATCTCATTACAAGGTTGTATTTTTCTAAACAATCTTGCACTTATGTAACTGCTTCCTATTTTTTTAAGTTACTTTGGACAAAAGCATGTACTAAAATAATAAATGTAACAATGCACAGTGTTTTGGGAAGCAACTAAAATGAGTGACAATAGTATTTTTCAGTATTGTAACATTCAATACTCTGTCACTTTTTCAGTAACAAGCTACTTTTCCCAACAAATAGCAACTAAACACTACATCATTTTTTTTTTTATGTAAAATTTTATAACAACATAATTTTTAACACTCTCTTTCTGTCAGTTTGGGGAAATATGATTTTAGTGAATTGGTTCATTCAGCAAATTCATCTATATGAATCAATTCAGAACACTGAGTTCCTGCACATAAGCAGTGTTGTTAAAGCTAAAACTATTAAGGATCTTTTTCGTTAATTGAAATAAAGCTGAAATAAAACAACATATAATATATAATACAATACAATATAAATATTAGATAAAAAATTTGATGAAAATATATAGTTTACTATAATAATAAAGTGTATTACAGTATTCATAGTATACTATAATAATAAATATTATAGTAAATACATTTAATATTCGCCTCTGGCTTGCTTAGTTGGGGACACTTCATTTCCAGCGATACCGTTGACTTGATTGCAAAGATACTATTTAAACTGAGCTGGATGTTGACATCACTCAATTCAATGATGAACTGTCTTTAACTGAAAAATTTGTTTACTATTGTCATTTTGCATTATTGACACACTATTTTCCTAATTAATGCTGTTCAGTTGCTTTGACACAATCTGTATTGTTAAAAGCGCTATATAAATAAAGGTAAAGGTAAAATATTCAAAATAAATAAATGCTATAACACTGCACATAAGTCCTTTTGTAACATTTGCATTATTATTTAGTATGTATGTCTTCAAATTTAACACTATGACCCCACTCAAACTGCTTGTTGTTGCGCCAGAAAAATGCGTCTCTAAATAAAAAAGATATAATCTGATAGTTATGTATTTCAAAAATATATCACACCCTTATGGTATTTTGTTTATTTATTTATTTTTGCTTGTAGCTTAGCTAATTTCTTTTTCAAAAGAGTAGCTTGACTGTATTTTAAAAGAAAGCTTTAAATGTAGCTTCGCTGACACTGGTAGCGTAATATATAAACACAGACAAACACACACATACAAACAGCAGCCAGACACCCCGCAGTCATCGCCCGCAACACCCACACATCACAACACACACATATGAACCGCTTTCACTGCCAGGACTGCCATAAGTTGGTTCAGTACTTGCACAAACAGAGGAATGGTCTGCATGCTGGCGATCTCTCCTCGGTTGAAGGGATCTCTGGCCAGTATATGCAAAGCGCCCGTACAGCCTTCCACGATCTCCTCCATTCGCACGCCATCCTGTGAAAAAAAAAGAAAAGAGTGAAAGTGAGAAGAGAACATTAACTCTAATGCTAAAGGGACCTGGTCCATGCCAGATACGGGGACCTTGATGCTTATTGGATTATATTTTGTCCTCCCTTTGAGGGCTTCTGCCTATATGTGAGGGTGAATAAAGAGGATATATGAAAAATAAATGCACAGGTATAAAAAGCTCCAAACGCACCTGATAGGTCTGCTGGGCCCCTGAGCCGTGTCTTTGAGTTTCCTGATGAGCTTTCAATAGCAGGTTGACCAGTCGAGGGATTGTCCCAGATTCTCTCAGTAGCGCCTGATTGGCCGGACACAGGGCCAAGTTACGAATCAAACCCACTGTGGCCTATAGTGCGAAAAATGCATATAATTAATTACTGTTTAGAACAATTTCAGTTATTTGTTTGAATTTTCTTATTGCTTTCTTATGCTCATCAATGGATTAATGCAATGGTTTCCAAAGTAAATAAAAATTGCTCTAAATAAAAAAAAAATCATTTGAATATAATTTCAATAAACACACAAATAAATAAATAAATAGCTCTGAAAAATAGAAATAAATAGCTCAGATATTTTGGTTTTGGAAGAAGTTGATGTGAAATCTGATGAGTTTATATTGAAATAATATTTAAATATCAAATTTTTTCTTAAAATACCTAAAACAGAGAAAATACATTTAAATAAAAAAAGAGAAACCAAAATAAATAATAATAATAAAAAAAAAAAAACAGTTTCAATTTACAAACAAACAAACAAGCAAACAATAAATGAGAAAAAAAAAAGCTCAGATAATTTGGCTTTGGAACAATTTGATGTGAAATTCAATGAGTTCATATTGAAATTCACTATTTTGATTGCAAAATTAATACAAAATTGTTCTAAATAAAAGTTGTCATCATATAATTTAAATATAAATAAAATATAAATAAAATGGAGAAAACAAATAAATAAACAAACAAACAAACAATAAATGGGATAGATTAGCTCAGATAAGTTGGTTCTGGAAGAATTTGATGTGAAATTGGGTGAGTTTATATTGAAATGAATTGAGTTTATATATTAAATATCATATAAATATCACCTTTAGCTGATGTTTTTTCTTAAAATGCCTAAAACAGAGTAAGTAAGTAAATACATACATTGAAATAGAATAGCTCAGATAATCTGGAAGAATTTAATGAGAAATTTTATATTGAGATGCGTGCTTTAGATTGTCTCTGTATCTTGGCGAAGCCGAGCACATTGAGCTCCAAACATTTCCTGCCCTATGAATCTTATTGTGGCCTATGAAAAAACAATTTGAAAAAGATCTCCTTTGTGATTTTTCTTAGTGATGGATTTAGCTAAATTCTCTTTAACACAATGAACCGTGCCCCACTTTTGTAGCGCCGTACCTTTTCAAAAAGACATAATCTTAACCTAAACTCATTTGTTGTAAATTCATCATTGTGCAGCTCCATTGTAAGTCCATTCCTCAAACCTTTCATCATCTTTAACAACTGACTCACTCTTGTAAATCCCAAAGTGCTGACTGTCGACTGTCGAAACCCAGGAGACATTAACATGATGGCAACCGAGCAACGTTACTTGCAGCAATAATGCTTTTTTAATTAAAAATCTGAGCTGAATATAAAGTTTAGGTTGATGTAAGACTGAATGCAACCTCAAATGTTTATGGATGCATCAATGCACATGTGAGTCTTTGTCGGTGAAATCACCTGTATATCACTCCACGATATAGATCAGAGAAATGTCATGCATGTATGTGAAGTGTTTGTCATTTTACTTCTGCCTAACCATCTGCGCACAAAGAGCCTTGCGTAAATGCTTAATTTCAGCCTCCTTCATCACGCATCATTAGTCAACAATGTTCCTCTGCTGATTAGATAACGCTGGCTGATAGTGCAGATCTCCGCAGGGTGGGACGGCAAGCCATGTCAAGCGCCGAAAACGCCTGCAAATAAAGATGATGCAATACATTCCAGACATTGGGCTCTCATGTGTGTTGCATTAGTGATCTGTCTTCTCCACCCCGCCTGGGTGCAAACCAAGCCATCAGCCAAACTGAGGTCCAACTGTAGTACATAAGGTCTGCATGAATTTCATTTGTGAAACTGTTGAACTGTTTTCTGGTTTCTATATAGGAGCCATTATAAAATAAATAGTTCTGGCTCTAAATGAACCATGTCCAAATCAGTAATAAAATGCATAAAATTGGGCCATACTACTACAATAATTAGGCTACAACTATATTACTAGGAAAAATATTCATTAATTTGGTTTTATAAGAATTTTAGGAGAAAGTTCATATTGAGCAATTCTGAGCACAGTTAGAGATGTTGTTGAGAGAAAAATATGAGAAGCAATGTGCAAAAAAGAAAAAGTGCAAAAAATGCATATAATTTACTGTTCATAACATTTTCACGAACCTAGTTGTTAATGTATTTTTTATGTGTTGTTATTTCTTATTCTCACAAATGGATTAATGCAATGTTTATAAAGTAAATAAAATGTACTCTAAATTAAAACATAAAATAAAATAAAATAAATGGTAAAGAATAGCTTAGACATTTTGGTTTTAGAAGAATTTGATGAGAAATTTATATTGAGATGTGTGAGGCATTGTTAAGATAAATATGAGAAGCAAATATAAAGATAAAAGTTAAAAAAGATAAAGATAAAAAATCAAATAAAAAAAATACTCTCCTATTGCTTTCAAAATAAATATTTCAATATCATGTTTATCTGATGTTTTTCCTAAAATGCCTTTAGAGAAAATGAATGTGACGAGTGAGGCGGGGCCGAGAGCCATGGGAACGGAGCGAGGCCAGTGGAGTTAATGATAATGAGTGACACCTGCGCCACTCACCGGTCTCGAGTCCCACGGAGGAGCTCCGGAAGGATAAAATGAGGAGTAACGACAGTAAAGGACGAGAGAGGACCAGGCCTGGACTTTATTTTGTGTTTTGTGTGCGTCAGTCGTTTGTGAGGAGCTGCCGCTTTACTTTCATTTTGTGTTTGTTTTATTATTCCCGCCACCTTCTTCCCGTGACTACGAACGTTTGTTACATTGGTGCCGAAGCCCGGGAGGAAGGAGGGACACGCTGCCAGAGAGCCCACGCTGCTAAGGGGGGTCGCGGTGCTGAGGAGATCGGGCAGCAGGAAGCAGCAGAGACCGCCAGTGGCTGCCCGAGGCGGTGGTGCTGGAACGATGGAAGACGAAGTGTGACGGAGAGCTCGCTGCCACGCTCCTGGGTCGAGGAGGGGTGGCTGCCGTCCGAGAGGGAGCGGAGGAGTCGGCGCCGTTCGACTGGAGGCCGGAGCCTGCAGCCGTCCGCCATGATTGGGGAGGAGCAGAGAACGGGGGACTCGCTGTCGGCTGCCCTCGACCGGAGGAGCCATTGCCGTCCGCCAGGAGGCGGAGGTGTATAGAGCCGTCCACCAAAGATGTCCAGTACCATCGCATGGCACCGCGAGTGAGAGACTCTCAGCTGGTTGATGACCAAGCGGCAGTATGTCCGGGAACCGGACCGAGAATTGTTTTTCTTTTCCTCTCTCCCCTCTCTCTCTCCTCATCCTTCCGTCTCCTTTTCTCTCGCCTCTTCTGTCTGTCCTTACCCCCAGGTATGCCGCAGCCGCCGTGATCGGCTCCCCCCAGAGAGGGGGGAGGGGCGAGAGCGCAGTCTTGGGAGTACCACCCGGCCTGCGAGGGGCGATGGGGGGTATGTGACGAGTGGGGCGGGGCCGAGAGCTGTGGGAACGGAGCACGGAGGAGCTCCGGAAGGATAAAAGAAGGAGCGACGACAGTGAAGGACGAGAAAGGACCAGGCCTAGATTTTATGTTGTTGTTTTATGTGGCAGTCGTCCGTGAAGGGCTGCTGCTTTTACATTCATTTTGTGTTCGTTCATTTGTTTATTAAAGTTTTATGTTTAAATGTTCGCCGGTTCCTGCCTCCTTCTTCCCGATCTATGAACGTTGTTTCTGTCTGTCCTTACCCCCAGGTATGCCGCAGCCGCCGTGATCGGCTCCCCCCAGAGAGGGGGGAGGGGCGAGAGCGCAGTCTTGGGAGTACCACCCGGCCTGCGAGGGGCGATGGGGGGTATGTGACGAGTGGGGCGGGGCCGAGAGCTGTGGGAACGGAGCACGGAGGAGCTCCGGAAGGATAAAAGAAGGAGCGACGACAGTGAAGGACGAGAAAGGACCAGGCCTAGATTTTATGTTGTTGTTTTATGTGGCAGTCGTCCGTGAAGGGCTGCTGCTTTTACATTCATTTTGTGTTCGTTCATTTGTTTATTAAAGTTTTATGTTTAAATGTTCGCCGGTTCCCGCCTCCTTCTTCCCGATCTACAAACTCTGTTACACTGTGCATGTAAGTATTTGTAAGTATTTGTTATATATGAGTCACATTTAAGAGCATGTCTGTGAAATGCAGTGGTTTTCAAAACTGTCCTGGAGCAGCAGCACTGTAATGACAGTCGGCAGCATGTTTAGTAGCTACTGTCCCTTTAAGAGCTGCACGCGTTTCTCTCTCAACTGTTTACATTCAGTTTAGACATAACCAACTGTGTTTATATGTAAACCTTGTGTGTGTTTGACAGTATTAAGCCTCGTACACACCGGGACGATTATCGCGCGCGCTTATCGCTGACGTTTTTTGACGTGTCTTTTGTGCTCATACCCAAGTGATTTTCGCTGGCGATGAGCCGAGTGAACGTGCAAATTCCCTCCCTGACATTAGATGGCATCTAAATAATAGGATTTAGACACATCGAATCCCATTTGATCTGCAATTCCTCTCCATAACAACTCCCTCTTATCAAGATTTTTGTAGTCGCTGTCACGTTTGTCATAAAGCCCTTTGTGTTCAGACACCAATGAGACCAGCAGCTCTACATTCATCTTGCCTCGATGCATCTTCTTGGTCTACTTACTTCCTCTTCGTCGTTAGGTATCAATGTGTGCTCGGCAAGACCGTTTTGTGCTTGAGCGCCACCAAGTTGTGTTTTACTGTAACTTCAGCAGCTCCAGGCTCGTGAACAAAAGCGCCAATGTCATTGGCCGGCCAGTTTTTAACACGGCGCATCAAACCAAAAAAACGAGCCTGAGGCATAAAAAATGATGCTTTTACGCGTCGGTGTGCACACTCACATTGGCGCCCTTTGTTTAGTCACAAGGCATTAAACATTGGCGATAATCGCGCACGATATTCGTCCAGGTGTGAACAAGCCTTAACACACCCGATTCAACTCGTCAGCTCATTAGTAGAGACTTTAAGAGCTGAAGTGGGTCAGAAAAGGTAAAGAGTTGTGAGAAAATACGATGCGTGTCAGATCCGTGTCATGTTCAGCAGCGGCAGCTCTTAAAGCAGCCAAAATATCCTAATAACCAGCTGCTGTGATGTCTGTTCATCAAATAACAAAAGAAAAAAAAAAGAAATCCATAACTTTTGTAGCTTTAATGATTCATCTATATTTAATTTAGAATTTAGTGTTTGATCAACTTTATCAATTTCTGTGTATTTCCCACTTGCTGAAGGGCACAGGTAAATATATGACATTTATTATAATGGGTTTATGTGAAGATTGTTTTAAGTTCATTTAAATTAGAAGTAATTTTTTTAAGTCTAATAAATGTTCAAATTGATAGTTCTCAATTATACTGTAATGTTGAATGGCTACAGTCAATGGTTAAATATTAGAAAAAAAAAAAAATTTCCTAGAGACATCAGTAGTGTTCGTATCAGTGATACTCGCCTTCAGTCATAAAAAGAGGCCATTAAACAAATATTAAAAAATACTATCTTTATGTTGTTTCTTCATTAACTTGAAGATTGAATGTGAAATTATTCCAATATAAAAATATATTGAATAACTTGTTAGGTGGGATTAATCGCAATTAATCGTGATTAATTTGAGAAAAAATGTGCAATTAATTTGTTTATTTTTTTAATCAATTGACAGCACTAGAAAAAAAAAATTCTTCGTAAAATCTATCTCTCGTGGTTTACTGCATTATTTAAAGGTTCACTCAGTATTTTCCACATTTAAAATGTTTTACTGCTAAAAAATATCTTTGACTATTATTTAAATTTGTTTGATGATCTGAAACATTAAAGTGTGACAAACATGCAAAAAAATAAGAAATCAGGAAGGGGGCCAACACTTTTTCACACCACTTTACATGCATATGAGATTGAAGTAATATCAGTAGCCTAATAAAAGCAATTTGATTTTTAGACAGACCTGTTGAGATCACATTAGCAGCTTAATACTTCTCACTTCTCACATCATCTTGTTAATATACCTTTTATTGGACACTTTCGTTCAAGCAATACATTAATGCCTGACTTCATTTCAACAACGGCAATGATAGTGAAAATGTAAAAACTCGGCAGTGTGATGCTGTCAATATAAGTCTAAATGCACTACTATATTTGTCAGCTCAAAATCAACACAAACAAATCACTGAGTGAAACACAGTGGAGAGCAACACACAAAACACCTGAGTACATAACCAATGCAAATGCTTATATTCTCAAGATTTCCTATTCAATCAGGTTGGTTCTGTTGGGAATCTCCGCATGCAGACTGTGAGTGAAAATAAAAGCCTGGCATTCTTGTTCTTCTGGATCAATACACACATGCCGAACAGATCACAGCACACACACACACACAGGTTTCTGCTCCAATGGTCTGATACGATTAAGTGGGAGATCATGCGTGCCGGGAGCCCGTGCCCACAGACAGACAATCAGAGTCCAGCCCACCACAAATCAGAGAGCCGAGGACAGCCAATTACATCCACCATGACCTTCCTGATTTCCCCAAGCTTCAAGGGCTTTGACTAGCATGGATGCATTGACAAGATAAAACAATTGGTTGGTTACTGCATGTGATGGTTATTTTAGAAGTGCAAAGGAAAACTTACTATCTGCAATATTTAATTTTTATATACAAATATTAAGGACAAATGTTTGGAATGTAATATACTACCGTTTAAAAGTTTGGGGTTGGTAAAAAAAAAAAGATGTTATTGAAACAAATCTCTTATGCTCACCAAGGCTACATTTTTTTTGATCAAATGTATAGTAAAAACAGTAAAATTGTGAAATAGTATTACAATTTAAAATAACTGTTATCTATTTGAATATATTTTAAAATGTAATTTATTCCTGTGATGGAAAAGCTGAATTTTCAGCATCATTACTCCAGTCTTCAGTCACATGATCCTTCAGAAATCATTCTAATATTCTGATTTGCTGTTCAAGACACATTTCATAATGTTATCAATGTTGAAAACAGTTGTGCTGTTTAATATTTTGGTGGACACTTTGATGACGTTTTCTGGATTCTTTGATGAATAGAAAGTTCAAAAGAACAGCTTTTATTCAAAATAAAAATCGCTTGTAACATTATAAATGTCTTTACTGTCACTTTTGATTCATTTAACGCATCCTTGCTGAATAAAAGTATTAATTTCCTAAAAAACAAAACATGAAGCTCAAAACTGGTTATTTCTGGACCTTTTGCAACACCAAACCAGGGTTATTATCATTAACTAAAACATTTTTGTTAATTGGAATAAAGCTGAAATAAAATAATATTATTATTTATTAACTTTATTTATTTATTATTTATTATCTTTATTTGACCCTCGAACTCTAGAATTTTCTATTCTATTTTAATTGTACTTTATCTATCTTATTTTTTATTAAAAAAAAACCCCATTAGCTTTCTATTTTTTCTATTCTATCTACTTGTTTTCTTTGTATGTGTGTTTTTATTTGTGTGTGTGTATATATATATATATATATACACACCTTGCTACGTGTACTGCGTTAGGCTAACCGAGACTTGTCATTTGCACTTATATATTGTTGCTCTTTTGTTAGTTTTGATTGCTTCTATAGTCCTCATTTTTAAGACACTTTGGATAAAAGCGTCTGCTAAATGACTAAATGTAAATGTAAAATAAAATAAAAATAATTATTAGATGAAAAACTATATCTGAAATTAAAGAATTTAAACTTACTTTAAAATACTTACAAATTAAAATAGTAATATTTAAAACAACAAAACCAAAAAATAAAAAACTAATAAAAATGACAAAAGCACATTACTAAAAATTGAACTAAAATTCAAATGAAAACTGAACGTACAAAAATAAAAGCTACTTTAAAATATTTATATTATAATTAATTAAATTAAAATATTAATAAAATACTAAAATAACACTGCATGTATGTATGTGTGTATACATATATATTTATATATATATTTAAGTTGCCTGAACACTCCCACACTCCCCCTGTCTGCCACTCCCCCAACACAGAGTCCCGCCCCAAATTTGCACCATTGGTAGAGCCATAATATTTGCATAAAGTTAAGTTCTACCAAACTTTATTGCATCACAAATGGTCTTCGTTGCTCAACTTTCCTTGAAAATCAGTGACTTCTGATGCCTTTTTTCTTCCAAAAAGCTATCAGTGTGAATGTCCTTTCTTATTTTGTCCTCATTTCCTCACCTTCATGCCATTCCATATAATTTTTCTTCTATATAACTTATATATAAATTATTTCAGGCATTCTGATACAAGGATTTACAGCTCTCAGTCTGTGTATGGCAGCGGTTCCTCGCATATGATACTTGAGGGCTCTTTTATTGTTCCAGCTAGTGTCCTCAAAATTACGCCGAAGCCCCAGAGGAGCGTAGGAGTGCCGCTCAATGACTAAGATGCGGCAGCAAATCAGCTTAACGCAAGAGGCAAGTCTCAGTGTTCTTCCACATCAAAGGCATGCAAGAACTGCCCCCAGACGATTCAAATCTGACCTTTAAATTTAAACGGCGGAGAGGACTTTCAAATTGGCAGCAATTCAGACACCCACATACACACAAAATAACACATACAGACCTTTACCACAGGCCAATAGTGCGGCTGGCCTAAGAGCTTGGTGATGGCGGGGATGCCGTAATGCAGACGCACTGCATTCTGGGCCAGCTCTGCGTCGGGGTGGCGGCTCGTGAGGTGACGCAGGGCACAGACGGCCGGCTCGGCCACGTCCTCCTTCTCTCCAGCCCGCAGCACGGCGTGAATGAGGGCCTCCACCCCACCGCTCTGAGTGACCAGGGCCTTGTTGCGCGCGTTGTTGCAGGTGAGGTTTGACAGGATGCCAGTAGCACAGGTCAGCATGTTAACGTCATCTGAGCCCAGCTGACTCACTAAGATCTGCAGGAGACCGTCCAGACCTTCCTGTGTGGAGATGAAACATTGAAAATTATTGTAATGTTTTTTTGAAAAAAGTCTCATGCTTATCAGTGTTATTTTAGTATGTGTGTGTGTGTGTGTATATATATATATATATATATATATATAT